GACCATGGATATTTGAATTTTTATAAATAGTTGAAAGTAATTAATAGACATGTTATCCTATACACATTAATCTTCATCTTCTTGAGATTAGCCTAATCAGTAGATTTATGTGAGCTACTATAATAGTTATTGGCTCTTTTTAAATATTTATCATTATTCATAAACAGTAATTCGACTTGGAACAATTATTTTGGAGATTTAGGACGTTTTCTTTATAGGATTTTATATTGGTGATATACTTCTTTTTCAATTTTATTGTTCGTAAAATTATGTTTCCAAATCTCCTGTTGATATTTTATTTAATACATACAAAACTAAGTTTTTGGAGTAGAGATAAATATGTTGAACTTTTATTTTATATGACACCAGTAGAAATTTTATTCTTCTTCGTATTTCGACAATTTAGTTGTTTAACAGTGCCAGTGAATTGTTCAGATGGAAGAATCTTTTAGATTTAGTTTCATATGCTAGTATTATATATTGACTCATGTATTAATGTGTTCCACAGACTCTCAAATAACTAATGTTTCTTACTCATAGTCTTGATTTTAATTTACTTCCACCTTAAAACAAATTCGTTTATCTACAAAATATTTATAGCAGAACAAAGTAAGTAACATTTGAAGAACTAAGTGACTAATATATTACAGGTAAACTCCTAAATCTGACTTCTTTTTCCCCCACTGACATAACAATTACCAAATTTCTATATCACGCAACATATGTATAGTGTTGAATTTTAAATTTTCAAATGTTTTTCAATCACACAAAAATCGTTTTTCCAAGTTCTAACCAATTAACCCTATCTAGAAACGAAAAGTAGGAGGGATCAATTTACCATTTGTATCTTAATGCGACCTATTAAACTTTATAAGTTTTTTATCCGGTTAATGATTTATACATCACTTATTAAAATTATTGTGTAATTCAAGTATATATATATATATATATATATATATATATATAATTATTTCAACTACACTAATTGTCCATTCATACGGTCTTCTAATATTTAATTAACCAGTGTATTTAGCCACAAATCTGGTGTTACGTAACTGTTTTTATTATTTTCTTTGTTATAAAGCACAGATATTGTAAAAATAAACTATCGTCAAATAAATGTTTCTTTTATAAGATTAAAAAAACATGTGCAAAATAAAGATTGTTTTAATTACTATTTGTAATTAGTTATTCATTTAGAAAAGATAAATATTTATCAAATAATGAATTATTAAAACATCAATAAATTGTTAACTTTTGGTCATATTTTAATAATATATTAGTTCATGAGACTATATATTGATTGTTTTAATGAAGTTAATGAGAAGAGTAGGTAGTTGTTCATGTTATTATTTTATATACGAGTGTGTGAGAGTATATACATATAAGTACATATGTATAATTCTGTGAACTTCATTGATTACAAATTGTATCCATCGTTGTGTTATTTACTCTAAAAACTAAAACAATAAATTATGTCATACAATGATCAGTAACTAGTTAATAAATGTTTTTCTAATAATTTTTTAACCATAGTTACTAAATTCCTTAAGTAGAAGATTAATAAATTCTCGGTAAATTTGAGCATTTTGGCTTTAAATTCAAGTAATATTCCAGTATCTAATAAAGATCATGAGCATTTCAAAACAACACTTGTAGATTGTTGTAATCAATATGTAAATACAATACCTACAAATGATATGATTGAAAACTTTTGCTACGAATTAACATTGGTTAAAGTTGAATGGTTATTTCTCTTAGTATAGGATCTCTGAAAAGTGAGCACCCAAAACACTAACTGATATCAGACTCAGAACCATTAAATATCACCATACGTATTAAACCTCATGACGTTTAAATTGATATGTTGGTAGAATAAGTAGTATCGACAGGTAATAAACAATACAGTATAAATTACCTAATAATGAGAAATTAAAGTTTTGTAAATTAACTTTGCGATTCCATTAATAACAGGTTTACCCCATGTATTGTTATTTTAAGAATAATGATACTTGGCAGTTTGAAGGAGTAAACTAATGTAACTAGATATTATTTGATACTTCGTTTTAAATAGTTGATTAATAATATGATTACCTTTCATGGGCCAAAAATACGGCTACAAATATTTGTACATTTAGATGTATCTGGTAGATGATTTACATAAATAACTTCCTTTCAAATTATCATCAATCCACTACGAGTTTAAATTTTTTTTTAAAACTTATTGAATTTCGGAGAAGGCTCAGCATATAGATTTACGTTCTGAACTTCTGATTACCAAATAAAGGTTTTAAACTATGGTTACGATAACCTAGTTTTCGTATATAAAAGTTCGGATTCTTAAAATCAAGTACAAGAATATGTCCTTAGTAAATGAGTTACATATCTATAGTTAAATGTCACATTTTCATATTGTGCGCTTATGACACACAGTGAACGGCTAATGATCTGTCTTATTTTAAAAACAAAGATGATTAATTATTACTACGTTACTGTTTTAATATGGATTATCGTGTTTGAAAAAAATAATTGATAATTTTATCGTATAACAACTAAGCATATTGAAATTCATATTTAATAAGGAAAGAAAATGAAATTTGTGCACGAAATATGTTTAAACAAAATATAGATTGACTACATTCAATGTTATTACAAAAGAGTTTTTCGGGGCAATGTAAAGCATAAAGCAATTTAATCTTGACGGACAAAAATCACTTTTTCTGGAGATTTTTGGTTTAAGATGGTGATTGATGATATATAAGAAAAATAGATCTATAGTCATTTATATATCATATGTGAAGCAGTCGTGGGTTTTTAAACACTGTTTTGTTTTATTTGAAAATCATTAGCTGGATGTATCAATATTATTGTTGGTTGCTCCAGGAACAATCAGACCAACTACCAATCGCTTTAAATGATGAAACTTCTAGCTTATAAGTGTAAAGATCAAAGCTACTATAATTGAATGACCGTCTATGCTGTATTAAGTATCGAATGTTAATATCGATATGACATTTTATGACCAGTGAAGACGCAGATTAGATCAAGTTTTCAGTAGAATTAAGATATGTCTTTTGAACTGTTGATTGCATATTGATAGGCTTCTGTGCATGTCAGTTGTTCGAGGGTTCAATGCATCATTTTTCCTTAAGAATGAAATGTTCATGTTTTTGCCTACAATAAATATAACTTTTGATAAGTTCGCTTAATTACAGTCTGATTTCAATTGTTTGAAAAGTTCTTTTTTTAATGATTAGTTTATTGATTTCCTCGAACGTCTGTACTCTTGAGACATTTTCCGGTGTTGAGACATCAAGTAAAAACCTTATTTAGAAATGCTAAGGATACCCAAGTGTTATGTCCTTAGCTTATACGATTATCGTGAAATACGATTGCCAATTTAGATACGCTGACTTATACGACCAACTAGTAATGCTTACACCAGTACAAGCAACCTAAAATTCTTATTGGTCCTTTTTCTGCCTATCCCTCTCTGTTGAGTTCCGAACGCCAATCTCAGTCTCCGCATTACCAATCATATATTTCAAACATGCAGGGTTTATATACAGACAAATCAAACCTCACCACACCATAAAATAGGAAATAACATTTGTACAAGATCAAGTGAAAAGTGGCTGTGATTGTGAGAAACTGTTACTAATAAATTGCGAATATCTCAAGAATAGTAAATCGTGTCACAATAAACAATAGGTCAAGTAAAGGCTTATAATAAAGAGTATATGAATATACATATGATATAGTCACTTAATAGTCATACAATAAGAATATACTTGTAATATCAGTCCAGAAATAATTCCTAAAGGTTACCATTCTTTTATTTTTGTCCGGATATAGCATCACTTACTCCTTTACATTAAAAATTTCACACGCTTTACACTCAATGGCATACCCGCTGATACATGCAGTGATGTCTCATATAAAATGACCTTGGTCAAAATGACATGAAAACAATATGATCAGAACTACATTGATTCCGAATGAACTAAATATTCTGCCTTGTTACTTTGTACAAATTAAACTTTCGTTAATTTAACTACTCTTTAATGAATTTACTTCAAATAATTTGCAAAATATCAAATATTTTAGTGTTTACTTATCTAGATATTACGAATACTTCATTACTTTATTATGTTATGAACACTTGCTTATTTTTAGCTTTTCATCGATGTATCACTGATCTATACTTTCTTTACATAGATTACTATAGTGAAAATTATGCAAATGCTAACTGTTACTGTTCTTTCTCACTGTTTACCAATGTATTCATATGTTTTGGGTTAATAAATGTTACTTAGAATTATGATTTACAAATTCTTTTTTATAGCATCACTGTATTCAAGGAACTGTTTTCTTCCTAAGAAATCGAACGTAATCTACAATGATGGATTATCAACATTATTAATTTTAAAGAAATGATTTTTATTTTTAGTAATAAGAATAAGTTTACTTTTTTGTTTTAACCTCTTTTTAGTATTTTTTTCTTCTGTTATCAATATTTGTCCAATAACCAAATAATCAGAGATAAAGATAGTTTGTCTACCTAATTTAGTTAAGTAAAACAATCATGTAGTATATTCTAATTGAATAATTTGGTTACTATTAGTCACTATACAATTAGATTTGTTTGAGAATATTACAAACAATAATTAGGTATTACAGTGAATTTTCACCAGCTTTTTAAAAACGACACATTTCAAAATTATGATGCCCTAGAAAAAAAAAGTGATTTATATTAAGTAGAAACAAAAGAGAGTAGTTTTGCCAAACTATATGGATGTCATACAAAGATATAAACAAAAACAAACAACAACTGATCTATAATATCTATCTTATGCAACTTGTGTAAATAGATTGAAATACTTTATTCTGATCAATAATCCAGTCTACCAATAAACTGAATTATATATACTCAACTGTTATAAATGGTAATTATTTTACATACATGAATCTTTATATATATAAATTTACAAATCAATAATAAATGAACAATCATTTGAGAGGATTGTATAAATATTTAATAAATTTCTTGAAATTTTATATATAACATACAAATTGTATGGAAAGTAAGTTAATTGTTAATTGTCATTGTCATTGACTGACATATTCATAATTAGATGATAGTTAATATGATATTAATTAAGTTTTTATATTATGCATATTCCAATTCTGTTAGAATAATCAAACTTAGATTTGTTTTGTATAAAAAATATTTTCTAATTTTACGTGTCATGACCAAGGTTTGATTTGATTATTTCGAATAAATTGAGCATTAGGTAGATGGTTATAAATAAATTAATAGATTTGTAATATCACAATGGGTAGAAAAATTAGATTTTCTGACGTTTCATAACTTAGTGTAAGTCACTTATTCAGAGAATAAATAACCAAATGAAAATTAATTCAAGTTTAAATAGTACAACGGAACAACATGGATATTATTTATTTCCTGTTTTTATTTCATGTTCTAGTTGTTGAAATTCTTAATATGTTTATTTAAAGTAGATAAGGTATAAGCTTGTATTGCTAAACAAAATGATAATTTAGCATATTTTAAAATCAAGATCATATAATTGGCTGATATTTAAAATAATATAATAACGTACTTAAAATTGGAATTTTTTTCGGAAATATTACAATCTTATCTATAAAGTATGAATATGAACTTTACTTGCATTGATCTAACACTAAAGCTAACTTTCGATAATGCAATAAGAAGACGAAGTTTATCAACAGGACTAATTGTTTTAAACTTAAGATAAACCTAGAAAAATTAAGTTTACTAAAGATTGGTGTAACTGTAAGACTCAGGTTATTGGTTACATCAAATAAGTAATCTCATTTTCTTAATTGAAACGGATTTTTAAAGCATTTTAATAGGATGATGCGGAAATTTACTGAAAATGAAGTCACTACAGTTATGAGGCTGAATGATATCTATATGTAGTAATTCATGCTATAGTATCATTTTGGCGACTCGAAACATAGGTATACATTCCATATGTAAGGAACAATCATTTTATATTAGTGGAGATTTGTTATAAATAAGTCTACGACTATGAAATACTCTGAACGAAATGGATAATTTCACATGCCAAAAGAAGAATGTGCTAAATTTACAAAGTAGCACAAGAAGTGGTTCTAATGATTAAATTATAGACATTATTTGTAGAATTAAAATATTAAGGATTTTAGAGTGTTTACTGAGAAACGATAGGATCTAAAAAGTTCTACAAACCCCTGATACTAATAATAATCATGTTGTAATCGATGGCCAACCTCTAAAGGTAATTCACTGGACTATACTAACCAATGGGGTTCAATCACATCGGATTTAAAGTGGTTATTTGCTCATGAATGGTATTGGAAGATAAATAGTTACTAAGTACCACGAGTTAGGAGAAGATAGAAATATAAACCATCATATGCCAGCCAACTCAGAAGTCAACATTTTGAGCGTTTGATGCGAGGCCGGAATATGTTAAGTAGGATTTATAGTAGGGTCGTTGGTGGGCACTGTTGAGTAGTTCTATACGATGACAAAACAGCTGTCTGATGGTTTATGGTTTCTACTGGTTTTCTGACTCAGATCAATTCATCCTACGAACTATAAAATTGAATAATCTCCAAAATCCTATATTGTTTAAAAATGAATGTGCTTAGTTATGTTAGTGTTTCAGAAGCGCTTGATAAACTAATCATCTGAATATAAGTCACTGTTCAATGAAGTAATGTTTTATTACTGATTTTGACTGCTAATAGGTTATGTGTGATATTCATCTTACTAAGTCTTTAATACATTATAGTTCATATCACGATTAATCTGGGCTAGATATTCATTGAATGCGATGAAGCATTAGATAGCTATTTTGTTCTGATATGAAAGTACTCAATAATATACACCAACGGACCCAGTTTGGATCTTACCTAACACATTCAGATCTTATGTCAAACGTTTTATCTTTTGGATCAGTGTGTTGACAATGAATGATTTACAGTTCTTACTTTAATCAACTCTAGATACTTAACAATCATCTCCCAACTCGATTGATGATATTTATCTCATATTTGATTCCTTTATATAATATTGAAAAAATGGCAACTCACTAATCAAGAGATAAAGAGATAAAAATGGTGACGTATGTTATATTAAAAAGTAAATATTCTGAAAAAAATGTCATGAAAAGTCAATGTTCACTAAATAATCCTATGGAACCTAGAGCGTTTAGATATCACAAATAGTCATTTAAAAAAGAGAGAATAAATCCTCAAGAAGATGATAATAACAGTTAATTAATTAACCATACTTATCGATAAATTTATTTCTTTTTATAATACGACCTATTCTGATTGATTATCGTAAGGGAAATGATATTTACACATTAAATATCTCAACTGTTTCTAGAATATTATTAAATAATCAGATCAATACAATTTATGTGATAATACATCCATTAATGTTATTAGTTAATAAAATAATTATTTATTGATCAATTAATTACACAATGATCTATTCATTGTGTGTATACCGTTGATATTTTCAATATTGAAGCACTTTTTTTCTTTTATTAAGTGACCTTAGGAATTGTAGCGCTAAAACATGAGTGATGCTTTGAAATAGATATGGTCAATTTTAATGCGAATTCTTAAGAATTCACTAAAATACAATAATTTATATTATGACCTGAAGTTTGTTTTGCGTTCGATTATGTTAATAATTATATAGTTAATTTAGATTACGGAATTCTGTGTGCGCTGTGTGCGTGTTGATAATCTATGAAGCCCCTATACTTCATGAAAATATATATTTGTTCGTTTATTATTATAATATTTACACCAAAAGAAACGTTGGCTCAGCCAAATAAATGAATCACAAAAAATTTTTGTATACACTTACATAACAGATGTACTTAGATACATACACTCATATGTATGTCTATACTATTGTGTTTATGGAAAGATAGATAGACAGATAGATGATTAAATAAAGTGATTTTGAGTAAAGGTACTCTTTTAAAATGTGAACATATCAAATCTTGTAGTTAACTTAAACACAACTTTTAGTTGTTCTGATTTGTCGAAAGAATGACTATATTAGTTATTTTCTAAAACGAAATAATATAGAATATTTTTTGCATGAGAAATTTGAAACAAATCATGGTTTATGAAATGAACAAATCAATTTATGTAAATCAGACATTTTTTTTCTATTGAATGTCTAATTTATTCTATGTCCAGTATTAAAAAAAAAACAGTGTTTAGTTAAGCTGAAAAATGTCAAGGTAATCATCATGGCAGATCTTTTGGTTGATAATCAATTCAGATAAAATGACAATAAAACATTTACTCTTTAGGAGGCATTATTAGGTATGTCGACCTGTTTGATTGAATTTCATTCCTTGAGAATCTATATCTTTGAAAACAGTTAAATGGGACTTACCTTTTACATTATCTGTATGAGCTATAAAAATCTATATACAGTTGAAAAAGATCTAAAGAACTCAAAAAAAAACGAATCAATCAGCAACATGATGACATGAAATATTACTATAAAGAAATTTAAGTTGTGGCAAGATGGTTACTAAATGTATTCCATGGTTTTCGATTCCCATTCTAGTGCGAGTCGTATACATCATGCCAGCAAGTGATGTGGAATTTTCGATATATATATATATATATATATATATATATATATATATATATATATATATATATATATATATATATACTTACAGTTACTTACGCCTGTTACCCCTCGTGAAGGAGCATAGGCTGCTCACTATCGTTCTTCATCCAACCCTGTCCTGGGCAATCCTTTCCAGTTCCTTCTAGTTGTTATTTATCCTTTTCATATCTGCTTCTATTATCCGACATAATGTGTTCTTAGGCCTCCCTCTTTTTTGCTTCCCTTCAGGATTCTAAGTTACGGCTTGTCTCGTGATGCAGTTTGACGATTTGCGTAATGTATATCCTATCCATTTCCATCGTCTTTTCCTAATTTCTTCTTCAGCTGGAAGCTGATTTGTTCTCTCCCACAAAAGGCTGTTGCTGATGGTATCCGGCTAATGGATATTGAGTATCGTGCGTAGACAGTTGTTTATAAATACTTGTACCTTCTTGATGGTGGTTGTTGTAGTTCTCCAAGTTTCAGCTCCATGCAGTAGAACTGCCTTGACGTTGGCATTGAAGATTCTCACTTTGATATTGGTTGAAAGTTGTTTTAAGTTCCATATGTTGTTCGATTGTAGAAATGCTACCCTTGCTTTGCCAATCCTTGCCTTTACGTCTGCATCTGAACCTCCTTGTTCATCGATTATGCTTCCCAGGTATGTGAAAGATTCTACATCTTCCAGAGTTTCGCCATCAAGAGTGATTGGATTTCTGCTCTCCGCTTTGAATTTGAGGACCTTGGTTTTCCCTTTGTGTATGCTGAGGCCTACTGATGCAGAGACTGCTGCTACACTGGCTGTCGTTGTCTGCATCTGTTGGTGTGTATGCGATAGGAGGGCTAGGTCATCTGCGAAGTCCAAATCGTCTAATTAATTTTGAGCTGTCCATTGTATTCCATGTTTTCCTTCAGATGTCGAGGTCTTCATAATCCAGTCGATCACCAGAAGAAAGAGGAAGGGAGAGAGTAAACAGCCTTGTCTGACTCCAGTCCTTACTTGGAATGCATCTTTCAGCTGTCCTCCATTCACGACTTTGCATTGTAGTCCATCGTATGAGTTCTGGATAATATTGACAATCTTCTCAGAAACTCCATAGTGTCGAAGAAGTTTCCATAACGTCCTCCTATCCACACTATCAAATGCCTTTTCATAATCAATGAAGTTGATGTATAGTGACGAGTTCCACTCAACTGATTGTTCGACGATGATCCGTAGTGTTGCAATTTGGTCTGTGCACGACCGATCCTTACAACTAGGTGGTGATCTGAAGCTACGTCAGCACCTCTCCTGGTTCTTACATCTTCCACTGTCCTTCGGAATTTTTTGTTTATGCAAATATGATCCATCTGGTTCTCTGTGGTGTAGTCCGGTGAGATCCATGTAGCCTTGTGTATACG